GGGGGGGGGGGGGGGGGGATAAGTCCCTTCTGCGCATGTGCCCGACGTTTGTTTATATTTTTATACATTACACATGTTATAACATGAAGTATTGGCATTGTACAACAATATGTTATCAAACATGGCGATTGAAATGAGCGAAACTTTATATAGTTCATTTGTTTGTGTGGTGGTGCCTGCTTTTTATGAGAAATATAGAAACTTTTGACTTGTACAAGTTTGAATCATTTTCCTTTTGAACCGCATAGCGTGATAAACACGCCGAATCATGCATGAAATATGATCAACCGACGAATATGAATTGCTCAATGAGTCAATGCTCGATTGCTCTTTACTCAACAACAAGCTGACAATATGGAGTACACAACAGTAAGTTTAATGGTTTATATGTTGTTTGTTGTTGATAAATTCTAGTCTGCATGTTTTTGCATGGATTAACCATATATGAGAGCTTAACTTTCGTATAAAATACTGCACAAAATATATACCGCATTTGAATTGATTAGTAGATATATTTTCATCTACAATTTATAAAATTGATATACGAGTTGGACAATATTTTAAACCAACTGCATGTCCTGCTTATATATAGCTAAATTTTGAAAGCATATATAATTATTTTATTTGCAAAGATTGAAATGGTGAACAAAACAAGTTTTGATTTTTTTCCAATTGCTAGCAGCAGCCTTGTCTTTGCCATTTGTCATGCTATTGTAAATTATGCAATTAACCTGAAAGTTATATTGCTTCCATGCATTAGGACACTTTCTCAAACACCATAAAGGCAGATTGCTACTGGGACAAGTGGTTAATAGCATGAAGCATGAAGATCTCTGAAAGAGGCAAACCTATAGTCTGACTGCATTCATTAATTTTGAGCCTTTCTATGCATGACAGGATTTAGTGGAAGATGTAAATGTTCAAGACTATCTGTGGAGAAAACACTGAATGATATAGCTAATGGTGAAATTCAAATTGGTTGCTGACTGTAATGAGTGCCGCTGAGAGGGGGCGGGGGATTTTGGCATGGGACCCCAGATTGATGGGACCCCAGATTAAAGGGACTCCCCCCCCCCAAAGCGACAAAGTCCCTTAAATTTTCTTGATACAAGATTGCTTAACCAATAATATAAATGCTAGCTGACTGTCAGTGCTGGATAATATGCAATAAAGTGCAATATGTTGTAACACACTGCTTCTCCTGTTTTACAATTATGACATAGGGACCCGTGGAAAGTTTTGCCCTGTACCCCGCACAACCTCTCGGTGTCCCTGACTGTTATTACCACCAAGTTCAACAATTAGATAAAAATCTTCATAGCTGGGGCTACTGTAGACATTTTGTACCCATACCAACACAAGAAGGAATAAGTGTTTTTCTAAATGAAGGTGATATTGCATATTAAGAGGACAAGACTGAACTCTATCAAGAACCCCCATCAAGGACACTGTAATTTGAACAAAATGTTTTTGGCACAAATGTTCTGAAACAATAATTGCCAGGCATTATCGAGAAGATGTTCTTGTTTTAAATAACAGCATAAACATGCAAAATGTCTGGCATGCACCATACAAACAGGATGCTACATGACAATGTCATAGGTACTGTGCCTTACCATAAATCCTCTAGCTATTGATATGGGGGGGGTGGGTTGTAATACATTTCCGTTTTAGAAAAGTGGGTGGGGCCGTGGGGACTTACATCTATTTTAGAGGGGGAAAATAGGGGATTTATGGCAGATGGAATAATAGAAGGGTTGTTGCCTAGTCAACATTTGATTTCACTATTGTATGCTGGATACACTTATTACTAGAATATCATGGTAAATAAAATAACTTAATGTACAATGTCAGCTACAGTAGTGTTAATAATTTAATTAATGGCAGTTCTGAGTTGTCAGATCTCAAGACATATTCCAAGACAAATTCCAATATATACCAAGACAAATCTTGTGATATTGAAACTCATTGCCACCTCCAGAATGCTAAAAGATACTACCATGCATTGCTTTTAATAAAAATAATATAGTAACTATAAAGATTATACAGTTGTCATCTTTATTACTTCCTGAAGTGTAACTTCATGTACTGTGGGTGTATATCACAAAATCGTAAGAGTTCCAAGGCAACTCAACTGTCATGATGACGACTATACCTCATGCTACTATGTTTCAGCCTACAGTATGAAAGTTTTCCAATACTAAAATATAACTTTGCATGCACATACAAAAATTTATGTAGCTTGAAAGTTCGATAATTTTATACAACAATCATGATATGTGAAATGACATACAATGTTATAAAGATTTATATTCAGATATCTGATTATAGATTACAAACAATTGTATATAGTAAAATAAATGTAGAAATAAAAATAAAGTTATGAAGCCGTCTTGAATAAGAGCGCATCAATAAAAATATTAACAGTAAATTGTAGTTATGGTTTCAAATCTCTTGACTTTCTTTGCCTGGGAGGAATATTCGATCAGATCTGATAAATAAATATTAAATACATAGTCAGCATAATCCAATGCAATAGAATCCCAGCGTAGAATTTCTGACCAAAATCAATATTTAACGACAGTTAAAACCCAAGTATAAACAAAACATTTACCTGAATATAAAAGACATCGCAGCAGACAACAGCACATGTCGATTTGATCACAGCGTGCTGCACTGAATATCACACAAACGCACTTTTAGGGCAGCCTTGTTGGCGTAATATTCTTTCCGCGTTCTATTGTTGTTTTATATGTTTCAATAATTTACTAATAGGTGGATTTGGTTTCATAAAAGTCGCAAATTTGTTGAAACGTTTTCGAATTCTATATAAATATTTTCCATTCACTCCTTATGTGGAATATAAACATCGCGCGTGTATACAATCTCGAAACCAGAGCCCGCAATCCTCTATGGAGGCTTGCTGAGGCTCTGGGAAACACCGGTGAAAGTCGGGCTCTGATTGGTTGTTTTTCAACATCCTCGTCCCCAGGCCCAAGCTCGGGTGGCTCTCAAAGTTTTTCAAGTGCTAATTATTATTCAAACTTTGAGCCGTTATTCGGATTTCAAACATCGTTTAAAATTAATATAAAGTTTATTTCTCTTTGTGTATTATGTTTAAACATATCAATGAAACACACAGCATAATTTTAATAAATTTATTAAGCTTTCCTAGCTTCTCATATGAAATCAAAAGACTATTCTATTTCTGATATTGATATGCTATGTATAACAAAATTAGAATAACAACAGTGCAGCATTACCATATAAGGTCATGATAAGCCGTTGCCAATAATATTTAAAATAACACGACAATCCATGATTTCCCGGAATTAAACAAGTTAAAATAAATCACTACCAGTATCTTACAACAATTCAAAACCATGGCAAGTGTTCTTTGAATAATTAAAGTCGTAATAAGCTTAAACAACGGCGTAATTCATGTTTGATGGCAGTAATGTCTATTTATAAAAGTCGAGCGGATTACTGGATCCAAGCGTACTGATTTTCGTGCAAAAGGAAAAATTTTCGCCATTCTATAGGAAGCGATACAAAGGTTACAGGTTTCGTGAGTGTTGCTCGAAACACACCAGATGATGGCACGTTGCTACCAGACAATGTTTTGACTGTCATGGTTGACACACCGGGCATATCCAGAAACGAATTATCAGGCTGATCCTCGTCTAAACGCTCATAACAAGTTAGAGAAGTGCCGGGTTCTACAGTGTCAATACGGAAAACATGATTTGGAGAATTTTCCTTCACTTCTACATGTTGTCTTGGAAATTGAAAATTGGGATGTGGAATGGGCCTAGTTGATATTTTACTACATTGTGAACCCCCAACTTCATTGTTTGAATTCGGCGACGTCATCTCTGGTTCTTTAGAAGTCGAAGATGGGTTTTGGTGTTGATCACCACTGCAGAATTCATTGTAAACGGTAACAACAGCTCGGCCTACAACGCGACCGAAAAAATCATCAATACTGCTATCGTGGGACGTTGAACCTTGATTACTACTATTTCGAGAATCCAGATGACTGTGGATAAGTGTTGAAATGTCATTAGGTTTTCCTTGATTGTCACCCATACACGAAGCTCGATCGTTTTCATTGGAATGGCCATTGTTTAATTCCTCTCCTTGATGCACATACTTAACTCGGCCTCTAATGACCCCACTGTTTCGTCTCCATACTAGACGCAATTGTTCCACTTTCCTTTTGTCCACTGTGAACGTCTTAAAATAGTTTTGTGCGACAGCCTTCCAGAATTCTTTTTTTGATGATTCCTTCGAGATTGACACTCTTATTATAATGCTGGCTAGTCTTTCGAAATCCAATGTTTGAGCAGCTTTTCTGCCACCACCTTTTAAGCCAGGAACTGTATTCCCATGCCGTGACGATTGTTTTTCTGAAACGCTCCAAATGTATCTAGCTGTATTTTCCAAGTCCTTTAAGAAATGAAGTCTTCTGGCATTATTTCTTTTTTTAATACTCCCAGGTGAAACGCTTTGGGACCGATGTCGATAACGTTGGTGATACCGACCGTTTTGCTTTTCCAAGATATTTGGAACATCTTTTAATCGTGACTGTCTCATTGTTCTCGACGAACAACAAGCAATCAGTATAAACTATATAACTTTCAAACAAAATATAAACCTTGGTGATAAAGTATCACTTCTGATGATGAAACACGGACAATAGGTAATACCTTGATTCCCTTAGAGTACGTAATAGGTAATACCTTGATTCCCAGAGGAATCTATAGGTAATACCTTGATTCCCAAAGGAAGACAATTAGAAACCAACTGGAATCCCGAGCTGTGTAAGACCACTGACGCAATATATACTTTTATAAGCTTTATGCCCACGAATTTATAATCAGGTACGCCGGAAACACTGCGAAATAAGGTATATTTTATAAATGTCGACTAGCCAAACTCAATATCGTTTAGACGAACATACAAACAACAAAGCTGCAGTTGAAAATAATATATTTCGTTATTACAAGTTAGGCTACTTATTACATCGTTTCGGTGACGTTCATTCTTATCTGACAATAAATAGTTTACGTAACATGACGTGCGAGCGCCCACATACTCAAGGAGGGGTGTGTAATAAGCCTTCCTTATTAACATAACCAGCGCAATCGCAAGCTCAAACCCATGCATGCTATAAAATATTTTATCTTTGTGACAAAGCGTCGTAGTTCTTTCATGGATTGAAAAATATGCAGCGCATACCTGAACAAGGAAAATTGCTTTGTTCCTTTTCCTCTGCACTCTTAAATGCTTAGGCCTTTGTATGTTACTTCTCATTGCATTTGCATGCCGACCTTTATAGTTGATATGGTTTTCCCCTGAGATTATCAAATGTCTGGCACGTGCCAGCTGAGGACGTGTTTTATTGTTTACGTTTAATATTTTACATCTCTTGAAAGTTGATTTCTCATCTCGGTAACGAATGCTAGTGTTTTCATGAGTTGTTCATGGTGGATATGTATCCTAAAGTTTCGAATGCTGTAAAATATGATAGTATGAATATTAGTCTAGAAGGGTCATCTTTTAGAAATTCGTGGCAGGGCGAAATTAGCAAGAAATTTGCGAAGCAATTTAGAAGATGGTAGACGTATTTGACATGTTATGGCCTTTCGACGACTTGCGCCGCATAATAATACCATTTTTAGCGATCTCGGTTGCGTCGTGTGTTTCGGAAATTAAACTTGTTTATATCGTTAGTTCTTCAGAAAAGCGCAACAAATGATATTATGTCATCAACATATCAATTTCTTACTCCTCGAAAGCGTAAATGTACGGATTCCAAAGTTGTTGTATTCACGGAAGGATAAATTTAACACACCCGGGCAGTGCGCGAAATTAGCCAGTTCGACTTTGCGCGAGTTATTTATCGCGGTTTCGCGACGTGGAAATAAGTTGACCGCATGAAATGATTTTTGAATACATTCTCCAGAATGGTCATCGATCAAATTTTTGAGTTTTTCATTATAAAGGTAACAAAATAAGGTTTTAAACGAGCTTTGCGATCTATCCGACCGCTGACCATTCCCTTTGTCAGAAAAAACAGTGATCTTTCAGAAGCTACCATGGACGAACGGAACGGAATAATGTTTTCATTTTCCATCACGTACTAAGGAATATGACAAGAAAAAATGGTCTTTCAAAAAAATTTAATATCCATCGGTAGTTAAGCGGCCAAAGCAGTTTGTTTACAAACTAGTCGTTTCAGCTCCATATTGAAATTGTATCTGGAGCTGGCTCCAGATTCGCCAATCTGGAGCTGCCAATCTGGAGCTGTCTGGCTCGTCATCCCAGAGCCTCAGCAAGCCTCCACAGAGGATTGCGGGCTCTGGTTTCGAGATTGGCGTGTATATGATCAATTATAGGACTGGAAACGAGAGGTTCATTTCCGGTGGAGTCCCCTGTAAATAGCCTGCGGGCAGCCCCATACCACGTAAACGAGGAGGTATACCTCGTTTACGTGGTATGGGGCTGCCCGCAGGCTACCTGTAAACAAACGCCGGGCACATGGGCAGAAGGGACTTATCCCCCTTTTTAATGTCAAAGTTACAAATTATAAACCAGTTCTGGTGAAAATGGATTCTACTCGCGCAGTTTACTTAGTTTAGTCCAAAAACTTGTTTGTTAATTAAGAAAAGAAGCCCAATACAAAGATATCACATCCCCTTTCACTGATCAGGTATATAATTTAGTACGAATAGTAGTACGAATTATAAGGATATTCACAGTATAATATGCGCCTAAAATTAAAAAAATTCAACCTACTGCGTTCTAAAAACAAGGCATCACGCATTTTTCTTCAAGCTAAGTTGAATAGTACTTGCAATAGTTTCAAGCTACACTCAGAAAAATAACATAATGCGTATATATTCATCGGTGCCAAAACAGCACATACAGTTTGCAATGCGTTTAAAATGACAATTTTAGCATCATTCAATAAGCTTTTCCCCGAGCCGACGGCGCGAAGCGCCGTGCGAGGGTACTAATTCCCCCCGGCTATTTACACCCGGGGAAACGAAAGCATTAGCGAAGTCTAAAGTTCATCAAATATCGCGGGCGTGGGTCACCAACCGTGGGTGGTCATCCTCACTGATCTCAAAAATATGGCGGACTGTCATGAATAGCAAACACTGTGATTGGTCCAATTTAAAGTTTGCGTTATAACGACTGCATGACGACAGCGAAATAGCAATCATTTCTTTATTTGATGATTGATAAATTTCTTGCAAATATATTTCATTCTAGCTCGCATATTTGGAAGATTTTGTAAATTTCAAGAAAGAAATGGCGAAAGAATCGGCTAAAAGAAGCTGCCGACGTTGACGAAGGTAAGTTTGTTTTAAATATTGATTTTATAATTGCTTTAAAACTCGACGGCCTTTGCGTATATGAAGCAACTAAACAAGACAGCATATCATTTCAGTGTATCTTTAATATTGATTCTCTTTTTTATTATATTGAATTTTTTTAAATAAAAAAAGAAAGCGAAGTTATTTGCATGCTAGAATTTGAAATCATTTTATTGCAAACTCAAAGTTTATCGATAAAGCCATTTAATTCAAGAATAAAGGCAGTTTAGTTTTATAAAGAACACTTTAAAACGTTTTGCGAAGCGTTTGTGGTTGAATTTTACCTTAAAGGGTACACATAATAACAAGGCCGTAACTTCAAATGACTGTAGCATCCAAGATAGCCATTATAACATTAAGAAAGTATATATCAGGTTAAAGCTTATGATTCACAGATTCTGAAAATGATGATCATTTTTTTCTAAAAGCATTTGTAACCCGATACCAGCATATTACATGGAACACATGCTGTGCGAAATCAAGGTGTATATGAGAAAAGATATCTTGTTGTAAATTGCTGCAATTTTCAAAGTGATTGCATTTCTAGGGAGCATAGACATGGTTGTCTGGGATGAGCATAGAACTTTTTAGTGTGATAAAAATTGCGGCCACAGCGGCGCTTCAAATTTCATGCAAGTTTCAGCAGGGTCATTTTTCTCAATAATTTTATTTCTATAGCAGATATAAAGAAGTTCTATGCTCATCTCACAAATCACGAAGAGAAGAAAAGGCACAGAAAATTTCAGCTCAATCCAATCAAAACTCTAGGAGATATCCTTTCTCAACTGCGAAAAATCCATGTTTTGAGAAAATCCACTTTAAAGTTTGCGAACAACATTAAATGTCAATACGAGTAGATTATACCTTGATTTCCATGGAATTCAGCCATGAAAAGTTATTCTAGTTTATTAAAAACCACCAGGCTCATAAGTTACACCTTCAGCTTCCTTTAAAGCCTCTTCGTGTTGAGCTTTCCTTAGTTGCTCTGTTTGACGACGCCTCTTCTGCTTTTCATCCATCTGGTTATCAGCCTGTCTAATGCGTTTCTTGTCTTTCGAATATGAAAGCTTTCTTGTAAACTCACCAACAGGAATCTGGAGGCGCTTCATCACTCTTTCCCTGCTTGCCGCACCACTGTGGAAGTGACAGACGGCTGATGCGACCGCACATTTCACCACCTTTACCCCATGATGTTTATGTTTAGGACATCGAGCCCACGCTAACGAATTGATAGACTCATTATTATTTTGAGTTTTACCTCTAACACATCTTTCAAGTAGCTTGGAATCACTGAGATGCATGAATGTGGGCTTCAAGAGCTCTAGGAAAACTGGTGGCAGACAATCATCTCCTTTGTACATGCTTGTACCCATTGCACCATCCTGCTGCCATTTGCACCAAGAGTTTTCGCCAACAGGACAAAAGCGATGTTGCTTTGTGGGATCGTCATTCTGAATTGAATGGTTCAAAAGGGCTATTATGTTCTTTTTCATGGTGTAAACAGAAACTGACACATCATTCTCTGTTAGATTTGGGGTAGACAAGGTATTCTGCCGTATCGCTAAGCCATAATAACGCTGAATTTGTAAAATTTTCTTTTCGGTAAGTCGTCCACGTCCACCAACTGTCTTTCCATCGGCAAGTTTGCCTTTAGTAGCATTCTTTAATTTTAGGAGATTCTTTCCCATTCTTTTTTGGACATGGCCAACACAATCCAACTTTTCTACTTTCACTTCATCATACGTATCTTCAATGGCACTAAAGGCTTTGCTGTCCCCATCTGATATCATCCACTTGTATCTAAGGTTATGTAGTTCAATTGACCTGTTCCATATAATTTTTGCACCTTCCACCTCCATTGCTGGGGAACTTCCATTAAAATTTATTTCGCACTCACCAGAAAACACATGCTCGATCTCCCAGTCTTCAAATTCTTCATCATTCTCACACTGCCCTTTCTTCAAGGCACATCTCTGACATGTTTTCGAAACCACATGGTAGTCAAGGACTTCCCCAGTGTCTATTGATATGGCAAACACAACACCAATGAGAGATGTAAACCCTCTTTTAGCCCATGTGCCATCAAAGCTGACTCCAACGTCAACAACGGAACCGTCATCCTCAGATCCGTTTTCTGCTAAATTGAGTTTCCTGAGCTTTTGTGCAGCCTGTCGCATTTCCTCTTTCGCTTCCGCCTCAAGAGCACTTACAATAGTGTCCAAATGTTGATAGTATGCAGTCTTACTAATACAAGGCATGTTCATGATGCTGCAGAATGTTACAAGGCTTTTATAACCACCGCCTGTCTCTACAGAATGATATACTGCTCGACGGTTTACATCAGCGGAATAACCTTTGCCAGGTATGGTAGGAGAGGTCTCCAAATCGGACTCCTCTTGGCATGAAGAGCAACTAGCTGAAAGGTCACTCATCAGACCGCGTCTTCCTGATATATTTTCCTGGATCATCAAGCTGCCTAATAATTGATGATAATTATTAATTAGAAAATAAAAAGATCAATGAAATACTAGACTGCAACAACCTTTAAATTCTTGATACAATGGAATATAGCTTTTGAAGAGAAACAATAAATAACTGAAACAAGTACAAAACATTACAACTTTAAAAAATGATGTAACTGTTTAGGAATTTCAAACTGTGTTCTATAGAAAAGATATAAACTAGTCGAAAGCATTTCAAGGACACAAAATGATAAACTGTAAGAAAATTCATACACACAAACAGTGATACACAATCCGGCACAAGGCTACCTTTAGTAATTACCTTCATCACACACATATGCTTCGGATAGTGAATCGGAAAATTTGGCGATATCTATAAGACGATAGCCCTTCTTATCAAAATCCATCACCTGATCGGGGGTTTCAATGGACTCTGGGAGGTTTAATTTTCTTCTTGATACACTAACACGTGGTGTCTCAGAGGAGGATATAGACGAATTTTCCTGGGAGGTGCTCGGCTGGTTTTCTCTTGAAACGCTCGGAGTTTTGTTATGCTTTTGCTTTCCAGAGAACGGTTTTCCTTTTCTCTTCTTTCTATACACGGTTCTCTTCTTTCCACCGACCATAGCAGCAAACAAAACAGTATTAGAAGACCACTTTTATCGCTTTTCAATATCCAGTATTTTGAGAACTTTGTATGTTTGAGAAATTGCTTTGATGAGCCCACAATGACTCAGACCATCGCATGGACGTCGCCTAGAACGTCATGTAGTCAGAAATTTAAATGGCGATGATTTCTATGAAGATTTACACGCGAAAAGCTCAAGAAAACAAGAAAATAACAAACAGGTTGCCATAGCAACCAAACTACCTTGTTTAGAAAAGAGCCTAGAACACGGTTATGAACAAGAATTTAGCCATAAAACAACTATTCCATGATTTTTAAGGGTTTAAAGATTCACATAAGACAAAAAAAATTTTTTGGAAAAAATGTAAAATATTATGTGTACCCTCCCCTTATTAATTTGAAGCTTATATTACGTATAATATCATACCTAACATATATATTTTGGGAAATTGATAATTTTGTAATTAAAAGTGATAGTTTTAAGCGATTTTTCATTTGTAAGAATATTCTTAAAAAATTATCGTGTTACCATGGCAACTACTTTAGATACTTCATGTTCGGAAAATACAATGGTTTTGTCAGCAAGGCGAGGGTTTCTGCATGCATGTATTTTCTAGTATTATAATAAAATGAATAATCTACCTTTCTTTAGTACGTCCTGAAAATTTCAATGACATCCACCATAAAATAACGACGATATACCCATTTTTAAAGTTATGAAATACAAGTTTCGCCATATTAGTTTATAATATTTTGGACCAGACTAGAGTTGGTTGCTTTCAACATGGCGGCCAGGCGCCGGAAGTAACATGTGCCGGCACAAAAACTTCAAAGGTTCCGACTCGAGTGAACCTTCTGCCCTATTTCTATTTTGTGCTTTTTGCTCGGCAACTAGGGAGATAGTTGCAGAGATTTTATATGAGCAGCAGTGCTTTATCAGGTATAAAGATGTTCTGATAAAACACGCACTGAGAATGTTTTAAATTGCTTCGTTGGCGAAGTAGCTTTTTTGTCGTTGTGTATGTTGAGAAAATCAAAGTTAATGTAAATCAAGGGAAATCTCTATCACATACGACACGTTTATGATTTTTCTTTGTGTTTTCCTCATGAATTATTAATGAGTTTTTGAATCTATTTTAGACAACAGTCACAACACAGAGCTTTTATCCTTTGAAAGGCTCCTGAATCACGGTTGTTTAACGCATTCTGCCGTATAATCATCATCCAACTTCATAGCTGCAATGTCATGTGATGTAGCCTCAACTATCTGGTCTTGAATTATACTTTGAAGTGGACAAATAACAAGACAACTATAAGAAATATTCGACTCCTGCTTGTGCTGGCATCAGTGCTATTAGAATAGCATGTAGCAAGCTTTGATTTGCCGATACTAATATAAATGTATAATTGAATCGAAAGATCAAAACTTTTCCGTATCTCGTAGGAAGAATAGCGATAACCGGCGTCTTCACCAAATAGCAAATTAATAATAGACTTTCTCTGTTCTGGTTTCAAATGAATTTCGAAGCCTAAATACTTGAAATATAAGAAAACGTTTCCTCCAGAGCATTAACAGGCATATTTTTATGAGAAATATACGGCTCTCTGCTATTCGACACGCGAACAAAATTATTGTTGACATTTGAGTTACGTAATTACTTCCGTTAACGAGATTGACCAATGGGAAGCTTTTCCGAAGTTTTTTCGGTCAAGAACAAATTTGTCATAGCCATTTGGGCAGGCGTTTCCTCAAACGACGCCCTCTCTTCTCCCGCCTGCACTAAACGCCTGCTACGCAGGCTAGACATTTTGGGCCCTCTGCGATTCTGGTGCAGCAATTAATTTATTTGTTAAAATTCTAGGACAATATCCCTTTTTTAGGCTATTACCAATGTCCTTTTGGACAAAACGTGGATATGACTAATAAAGGTACAAAAACGTTTTTTATAAGACATGGCTATGAGTGTTAAATTACGTGTAACGAGAACATAAGTTATCCGTCCGTCCATCGCCATCCGTCAGTCCGTTTGTATCCGCGTTTTATCATTACCCATAGCAACCATAAGAATCATTGCAACCTGCATGTATTTCATTTTAATACTATCTTCACAGTTCAATTAGCATTTTAATACCATCTTCACAGTTCAATTAACGCATTCTAGTTATTTGTTATTATAATACTTGTTATTATAATTATAATGATTATATCATGTTTCGCTCGCTACTCTGTTTCGCTCGCAATCATGTTTCGCTCGCTACTCTGGTTTAAATAAATGATTACAAAGCCCAGTCGAATTGTGATCAAGACCCAACGTTTCGACACTAAATATGAGTTATCATGCTTTGAATAGGGATGACGGTGCCAGGCACGTCCCGTGCGGGCGAGCGGGGTGGGTGAGGGGGGTGCCCCCCCAATAATTTTCGCGAGTCGGCCCCAGTCGGCAAATTGCTTCGTTACTGTTCGGCAAATTTGCGAAATCGGCATTCAGCAAATTGTAAAAGTTAAGAACGAAGGCGATAAATAAAGCGATAAATTTTGGATTTAAAATAATGCTTTGTGTGGCCTTATGTCAAAACTATTTAAATGTATTTCTATTTTCTAGTAATACTATTAGTCTTTTATTTGTCGAAAATCGACGGGAGGCTGAAATGTGAAACCCACGTTTCCGGACATGTTCTTCGCTCGACTGCTCTTAAAGGAGCGATGTCAATATCTGCGCATCTTTTCTGCGCACGCCAACTTGAAAAACTACTGCCGTAGTTTTTCAAGTTTTCCAATCCAATATGGCGGATTTGCAAAGCGGCTCGCATGGTGGCAAACGAAACAATTCTGGCCGGAAAAGGAAGTACGAGGGACGAAATGCGCAGAAAAACTGGGACAAGAAACACAGGAGAATATTCGTAACCTTGACGATATTTAATTCTTGGAAAGATGCCAAAAGTATTGCAGGATATGAGTTATGCAGTGACAGTGAATTTGCAGCACATCTACTTTCATTGGAATACCGAAGAAGGTACGACTGTCCATAATAGCCATTAATAAGTTTTAATGTCCTGTTCGATTAATGCACGGATTGCTAAGATCACTGATCATTATATACTTTTGTTTATATAAGGTCTGATGAAACAAGGGGATACATACAACCAGCTGAACGGCCTGAACCAAGTTCGAACGTAATAGGTTGCTCTTTAATGAGTTATTACTAAGTAATATATGTCATTATTTTACTGCAAACAGACGTGGTTTGATTAATCTGCATGTATTAACGTATATTTGTATATATTTAGGAAAAAATGTAACATCAACACCGATAAAGACAACAATGAAAGATGTATTGTATCCACTTTGCACAATATGTGAATCTCCCATTTTGGGAAAAGAACATGAGGGCCATGAGGGAACAGAAGTAAATGATGAAGTGGAGAATGCTCAACGTTTTCAAGAGGTTGAGATGACATCACATAACGAATGGTACATATAAATAAAGGCCTGCATGAATTTTAACTTTACTTTTCCATCAACTTTACAGATACTATATCAAAATACCTGATACAACATTTGTAACACTATTTATCTATCGACTTATACAATCTAGCATTGAATATTTTCCAGTCCATGAGTCGTTTGTATCTGTTGGGGGAAACACCTCGTTGTTTACAGATGATGAGGGTGAAACGTCAGAAGAAAACAATTCTGATGAGAATAACAGGTATGATCCTGGTCTAAAATTTGAGTCTTCATTCTACCAAAATACTTGAAATTATTTCATGTCTCGTTTTGCATACATATTCTATTTCGTACTTACTTTAGAAGGGTCAAAAACGATTTCTTTATAAATATGGCATGATTAAATATTTTGCAGGCAACACGACATTTCCTATTCAGCCCTGCAATATTTGAATGCTGACAGAGATCCGGAAAGTGATGATTCAGAGAAAAACAGGTATATATACCATATTATATGGTTACAATACCAAATTCTATATGGTATTTTAAATTATAATTCTCAATAATCATAAAGGATGCATGTTGTGTTACCATAAATTCTAGTGGGTATTAGCATTATTTATGATGTCTGTTTTATACTTTTATAGTCAGGAAGACATTGATTCGATCGTCAATAATTCAACTGCTTATTGTGAAGATGAAAGTGAAGATAGTTTAGAGGAAGAAATGTAAGCAATTATGTGAAATGTGAAAAGTATTTATTTTGTCAACTTTGATCATTGAAATTTGAAATACAAACCCAACATTTTTCAATTTGTCATGTGCTACAAACAAAAATATTATTTGTACAAACAAAAATATTATCAGAAGTAGATTTGAACAGAAGAAGTTATAAGTATTAACTGTTGCTATAAATAAATAATATACAATAGTAAACATTATAAAGCATGCTTGTAATGTTACTCTGAGTGTGTATATATCCACACCAGAGCATTGGCAGAGCATTGGGCTAGTATTCCAAAGGTCGTAGGTTCGAATCCCACCGTGGCCAGGCATATTTTTCAAGCCGGCCCGGTGTGGATACACACTCAGAATAACATCACAAGCATCTTATTCACCTGAGTACACTACACCAACACAGCAAGTATCATTATAAAGCATGTTCATGCATGCAAAGTCATAATCAATGTTCTCTATAACCCATATACACTCCTGTAATGGATGGGTACCGTTTTCTTATTTTCAATACTACACAAGATGGACAAACCCTCCTGTTCCCTTTTCCTAGATGCCCATGCCGTGCTAAAACAAACTGTCTATATGCTGCTTTTCTAAAAGCCCTTGTACTATGGTCTTCTTGATCATTTCTGATGTCACTAGAATTCCGTATGCACAGCTGTAAGACATCAGGGTCGAGACACAATTTTGCAAACCTCGATGTCAATGCTATGCAGCTCTTTAGTTTACAACATCGGTTTTCGATTTCTTGTGGCATGGGTTGACAATATCCGCATTTGCACCAATCTGGCCATTGTGTAGAGGGTTGGTTTTGTGGTGGATCAGGAATATTTGGTTGCTCTGTCTCCTCTTCAGACTGTGCTCCAAATTCACCCATGTCTTCATCCTCCTCCACAAGATCATCCTCCATAATGAGCAATGTCTGAATATAATCCATGCTTCCGATGCCTCGTCTAAGACTACGAATAGCCAATTTTCTAACCATATCTTCATCCAGTCTGGCTATAAAGTCCTAGGGCAATTTAAAGCCTTTATTTAAACTATGTTTAGCTCAGATTATTTTTTTATGTGTACACATAACTAAACCTGACCCTGCTTAGTTTGACAAATACTGTAAACCAATCTTGGAAGTGTAATCCATGTTCAACTCAGTTTAGTTTCGTTGACACTTCAAAAATTAACCCTGGGTTTAGTTATCGGTATAGTGTAAATAAAAAAAATTGATTGGACATTGTTTACATATTACCAAAAACTATATAAATAATCACCAAGGAAGAGATGTGTACAGTCAGCGTATCGGTAATTTAATATAAAGTAAACAAACTGTTAAATCTGTTAATATGTTTCACAGTATTATACCTTCACATCCTTATTTTCTTTTTCCCTTTGTCTTTCCTCTGTTTCCCTTGGCTCGTGAGTGAGGCGAAACCCTTGCTGATTCATACGTCCAGCTCTAGTGTTTGTTGGTGTCCCTCCACTTTCACCTTCCGAGTTTGCTGCTGCTTTCTGAAATAAAGCGCCAGATATATAGTGAAGAAATTGCAAATCAGAAAAATAATTAATTGATTTTCAAGCTTACCTTATTCTTGCAAGGTTTAGCACGAGTGCCGCATTTGCATGCTGCAGAGCAGTCGATATTTGAACCTTTGCAAGGGCATCCTCGATTGGTATTTTGTTTTTGCTTGAAGCTACAAGAGCTCTTGCACTTACAATGTTGAACCTGCGTTAATTTAAGAAATATGATATGCATTTTACATTTATAATTTTGATTTCACACAAATTATATGCAAAAATATGCATAGTTTCGTACCGCAGAGCTTGCCGTAAAGGACGCCATTGTCAATATTATTTTAGGCACCGAACAATTTCCGACAATTTCCGAAATTTTGTTGTTATGCGCAGAAAAGATGCGCACCAGGTGACACTGCTCCTTTAAGGCCTAATTCCACGACGAGCGAATTGCGAAAAATTTCGCGCGAAAAGGTTGAACGCATGCGCAACATGATTTTGGAATGTTTCTCAGCGAAATATTTCTCTTCGCCGGGTAGTTGAATTGATTTCTACTCCGTTGCGAAATGGAAATAGCGAAACCAATCAAATGCTTGTGTTATGGATGACAAAATAGCGAAACCAATCAAATGCTTGTGTTTTGGCGAATTTTTTCTCTACTGTGGAAATCACTACGAGAGACAATTTTCGCACACGTGTGTTTTCGCGCGAAATATTTCTCATTTCGCTAGTCGTGGAAAAAGGCCTTAATAGCGAAGGCTCTTTATCAATTATGCACGGTTCAAAACCCAAAAGAAAAAGAATAAAACTTTAGTGTCTTGAGGGTAATTCGATTTTTGACGACTATAGAAACGTTATTATTTATTTCACGAGGGAAAACGTATTAACCATAAAAATTATCTAACATACGGCCCGACCATTACCGTAAGAGGCACGAGCAAACTTGCCATAACTCCATATTAAGGGAAACCGAGTGCGAGTAGCACATAAAGACGTACCAGCTAATCTGTTTGAGATTGCAAAGCGCAGTCAAAGCCAAAGAGAATATTTTGAGTCGTCAGAGGCGCAAGATCCTCAAGAAGACTCCACAAACACATGAGAAGAAGACCAAGCGAAAGACGAGCCATGCCATAAGAACGGACTTGTCTTCTTTAGCGAAATTACTGTTAACTCTGATCAGCCTACAGTTTTGAAAGACATACCGGATACAGCGATCGGTATCATCGATCGGTTGCATATAATCATATCCGTTTTACTCGCTTTCTGCCGCATAAACTCTTGGAAAATCGGGTCGTACAAAAGCCCAGTTAACACTATCCGGCACTAAGAGTTTTAAGACGGCTCAAAATACAAAGAATATTCTAAATTGTCTATTCGGCGCCTGGGGATAAAAAGGTCAAATTCATCAGATGCCATGAAAATACTGAAACAAAATATCGATGCAATCACATGCAGATACTTGGATACCCTGGTTTCAGAGGTTTATTCTTATTTTCATTGCGAAGGGGCGAGGAAAAATAAACCTCTGGCTGAAAGCGGCAATTGATTCATTGAGCCGCGCCAATCAGTTTGAATTAGGATCAGATCCTGACTCTGTTTCCTGATTGGATGATTGTATTAAAGTTCTCTGATTGGTTCAAATAGAACATCTATAACCAATCAGAGAGCTTTAATACGATCATCCAATCAGGAGACAGAGTCAGGATCTGACCCTAATTCAAACTGATTGGCGCGGCTCAATGAATTAATTGCCGCTTTCAACCAGAGGTTTATTTTTCCTCTCCCCTTCGCAATGAAAATAATAAAAATAAACCCCTGGAACCAGGGTAATACTTGGATAACTTTTCTGACTTTGCGGAGATGCGCGTCTGCACCACAGTCTAAGACACTCGTTACTCAGACTATATGCACACGGTACCGTTTCCGTCGTTTTCCGAGCGTTCTTCGGTTTTTGGTTGTAATGCGTTAAAGGCACAGTTCAGCCTGTTGAACGATGGTTTTTAAGGCGCATTTCAGCCCTGTTAATTGAAAAAACTAACTAGGAAAATCAATTAAGCATAATTCAAAATCACCAATCTTAATGTTTTTAACATTTTAAAACATTCATATTGTTAAAAACATCGAGTTTACTGATTTTGAATTATGCTTAATTGATTTTCCTAGTTAGTTTTTTCAATTAACAGGGCTGAAATGTGCCTTAAAAACCATCGCTCAACAGGCTGAACTGTGCCTTTAATTTCTGAAACTGAAAGCACCATTTTCACGTACGTTCTGTTCACACGAAAACGTATGAAAACGACGTCAGGAAGCAAAAACTTTCAAATAGTGAAAACGATGCCAAAGATTCGTTCTCTATGTCTGAAACGTTTGGTCGTTTTGGCACTTTGTTATTGTGCAAACAGAAGAGTAGAAGGCGAAAATGAGTCCGTGTTTGAATTTGGAAACGAAGACTATAAAAACTAGTGCTTTGTCGGAAAATGTTGCGAGAAAAACGATGAATGTGAACAAGGCGCCTAAACGCTAAATTTGAAAACGCCATTGCAAAAACGCTCAAAAACGTGACCCGTGTGCACATAGTTTCAGTCTCGATTTAGAACTTATGAAAACACAGTATAAATTATGTTAAATTTAAATTTTTTTCAGCTTTATATGTTTAATATAAATAAATTAAAATAATACTCCTATCTGAAAACAAACGCACGAAAATAAAATAGTGCTCATCATTGAGCTGTGGTTGCAGTTATTGCAATTGTGTGTTTCGATTTCGTGACCTTATAATTGTTTGTACTTAGAATGTCATATTTTATATATAAAGCAACCCGATTCCTTTTTAGCAACAACCCACGAACAGGCATCCATTTCAAAACAAGAGCCATATTGGTCTCCCTCAGTTGCTAGCACACCAATACGATTCTCATTACCTATATCTAACCTTTACAAACTTTTGAAAAACTCGGCAAATTCAACTAGCGTCACTCGGCAATTTGACCTTCGACCCCAATCCATATCCCTTCGCAACGGCCCTGACGGTGCCTATTTGCCACAGGAATGCATGCATCTCATTGGCAGGTGACGTCATCCCTTGGGTATTTAAGAAGCCACGATTGCAATTTTAGATCACCCCTGATGAAGACACTAGACAGTGGAGTGTCGAAACGTTGGGTCTTAATTACGATTCGACTGGGCTTTGTAATCATTTATTTAAACCAGAGTAACGAGCGAAACGTGATATAATGATTATGTTGCCACAGCATTTTTGCAGTTTTCTCCAATTTAAATACAATTAGGTCTTTTACGCGACGGCAAACGCTGATCCATGAGTAACCCCCACCCCCCCCCCCCATACCATAAAATCACCAGCTACGCAGAGTGCCGAATTGTGTGCCGTTATATGTTTTGCCGAAAAGTATGAGATAGTCTTATAATATAATGTCAAAAGGTAAGAGTGGTAAAAACGACAGGAATCCTCATTATTGACAGTCTCAATGATGTCAGAATAATTGCCGTTTTTTAACAGCCAATGACGGAAATCACTTTTTTGAGACACGAGTTAGGTTAACCTATAAAAAAGCAAATACGGGATCATATGACCAGGATGTTGTTTTTCCTAGATAAACGTAGACTGTTGAGAAGGTTAGCGGCAATATATACAAAAGTCAAAGCCCGTTGAGGCCTACTCACGCATGAGATCAAACGAAATTGATACAAAGATCTATAGCGCGCGAATTAGAGCAGTTTACAGTTGTTTTTGCGAACGGGCACCGGGCAAATTTTGCCATTTGTCGTGCTTCTTTTGCCAAATTAAAAGAACAACGAACGCGTGTGATTTCCGGTTCTCAAAGGCCCGATTCGCAGGCAAACAGTGCGCGCAAAGCAGGCTGGTCATTTCCCATTGTTTAACTGGTAACCAAAACGACCAAGCAACATCCGTGAGTCAACAAGGATAGCGTCGAAGTGTATTTCAGTTTTCAAAGAAACGAAAGAAACCAAGCGAATTGCAGGTGAAAGACGAATTACAGGCAACGAGGTAACTTGAAGCTTAAGTAGAATATATTGAAGTAGATTGTAAATTGTAGATTGCTGTAGTGTACTGAAGTTGATTGAAGTGGTAATATTGTAGTAGATTAAAGTACAAGATTGAACTAGTATTAACCACACGTCGGTAAACAAAAAGCTTTGAGGATTGCGGAAGAAATAAAATTTGCGCAATCGGAACATGTTTGAAACAAGCGCAATTGTCAGATATTTTTAAATCGTTTAACATATAACGTCAGCAATCGTTAATATTGGGTTAGAATATTGTATTCGTGGTGAAGTTTTAAATAATACTGGATTTAGGCCATACTATCCGGGCCAATGCAAGCATTGAGCTCCTAGATGACTTACAGGTTCATATCTTCAGTTCGGTTCATGCTATGTCTATGAAGACAAAAATACCACCATGTGTAAATTAATTGGAAGGTAGCCTTGCATGGGTTCTTACGACCAGTTCGCTGCTTTCCCGTTTGGCGACTATCCGTTGTTATACAAATTGTGTGTTTGTTGTAAAGTAATCATGATTTCCTGATAAAGCTGTCAAATCTAACTCGTACTTGACTAAACCGATGCATGTACCTTGATGATAGCAATCATCAAGACCAGACGATTCTAAACCGATCGTTTAATAGGTTATTTCACACTGAGGCCGGCGAGAATATATTTGTGGGAATGTGGTGTTTTATTTTTGTTTAATTTGTATCAAGAACTTATCGAAGAGTTCCAACATAGAGTATATCTCTTGCAAACGCCTAATGGTTTTAGTCTCGTCAACAGTCTCGAACCAACATTTAACCAAAATCCAAACAAGAGGCATTTTATTCATTCTGTGAAACATAGCATGTTTACATTCAGTAGTAAAGCTTTTTGCTTCACTTCAACAAGCATATTTTGCACGTCAATGTCCACTATTTGCAGTGGCGTTAGTTAAAAAACTAATGGCCCCCGACAGTTAGGCGCCCCATCAGCCACGCCCCCCCCCCCCCCCCCCCCCCCCCCTCTTTCTCCGTTACACCATTGACTATTTGTGCGGTAACGTTTCCTTGTGCATAGATCCATGTCATTGCGGACTATTTTCCCACGATAGCGCAAATATTTTAATGAATGTCAGTGTCTTGTTTGCGCAGTCGTGTTCCTATTTCTAAGTGAAATATTTGGGGACTGATTGTGTTTATGTAAGCCCATGCAAGCGTTTAACAAGCTGTATGATGGCATTTTGTTTAAACAGAAAACAAAGTATCGTGTTTCCTCAGGGTAACTATTCAATTCTAAAATAAACAAACTTTTTCTAAAAATCAGGGTACGCTGTGTATACATGCGCCCGCTAAGACCATATAGTCAGTCATTGGTAACCATGCAGTCTTGGCAGTTGGCAACAAGCAAATACCAGCGCAGTCCCTTATTTTCTGCATGTAATGTATTATCTTATAATATAAGTGGGATATAACAGACAATTTGATTGGTTAATGCGCGTGATGCAGTAATGGTCTGTGACCTGCCTTGCTTTTTCTGTGTTTTCTTTCCGCTTCATCTCTGCTTTTTAGCCATGCAATATACAGTATAATTATAAGAAAAGAAATGGGAAAACTTGTCTCGCGCGTTTATGGTGTGATAACGCACTCGGGGAATATTGGTAGAATACTCAAGAATCGTGTAAAATCTACGTACGCCTCCTGTGTTATACGCTTCTTTATTCGAGTTTTCCCAACATTTCACCGTGTCATTATCATGATCACTGTAAACACACTCGACTCGTTTTCTATTTGTTCCGAGTACCTGTCTCTCACTCCACACCCAGACCCTAACTCCATGAACCTAACCGGGAAATTGGCGCCTCGCCCTAATTGGTGGACGGTTAATAAGAGAGCATGTTGTGATAACACTATACTCGATGATTAACGGTTTTGCGGAACTGTTAGAGCAAAATAGAATTATGCGAATCGAAATTACTGCAGTTACTATATAGAGCTCACTGCTCCGAATTAATTATTGGAAAGGGATGTTTGATTCGCTCTGTTGGGTCTTAACAATGCAACATTTAAATTATTGTTTAATTGTTTTTTAGTATACGTTATTATTTACTACCTTTGAAGATGCTTGTCAGAGGAATGGTACGGTTGTGTTCCCTTATGTTGATCATCGCGTGTTTCAAGCAGACATCCGGACAGCTGTACAACAATACATCTCATTTCACCTCCCATTACGGTACTCGGTGTATTGACCAGTGCGCTACCAGGGGAAAGGATTACTACTGGTGTAACACAAACGAAGGCTGGGACTATTGTTCACCTATCCCGGATTTTACCTGTATTAATGTACCATGCCGAGACAACCAGCATTGCGGCCAACATGGAATGGGTTATCATTGGTGTTATACGGGTGTATTTACCTGGGACTTCTGCGGAGTAGTCGAAGGCGGTACACGCGAATATCTCAACGTAGACACGAAAAGTCGGATAATCCGGGCAGACCGTGACTCCGTATGCGTATTTGGCAACACAAAAAATAACAGGCGCGTGATTTTCCATTCAACTGCTGCAAACATCGTACGTGATGTAAGCAGCGAGTCCCGAAGTGAAATACAGAGGCTCGTCGCAACCTTTCGTGTCGACCTAATACCCGGGCGTGCTACCAGTAACTTTCTCAATTGGAGTGGGAATTTTCGAATGGACATGCAAGGCACTTTCACATTAGACGGCAGGGGTTATTACAACATTCAAATACAACGAAATGTCATTCGAGCCGGACGCACTAGTACCACGTACGCTCAAGTGCTTGTTGCTGATGACGACCTCCGGAATCTGACAAGCAGGATTGTCCGTAGGGCGTTTTTAATGAGTTTGTCAAACCATGAGAAAGTGAGGATAGCCGTGGGTGAAAGATTCAGAAGAAGAAGAAGCGAGCAAAAGGATATTCCCCCCTGCTCAGCGTCTCCCGTGTTCAAATTCATGGGTTCGATTGTGATCAAGTTTTGTTTGGCCAGTATCGTAATACCTTTAATCCTTTTGCTGTAAACTAGAACCACAACTAATTGTCTTCAATGCAATAAACAACTGTGTCTGTACCATGCCAGTTGTTGCGATATGATTAAAATGTCAATTAATTGAACAGATTTATTATACATATAATCGATGAAAATTCATTTGATGATTTGAAGTTGAACGTTTGGAGTTGAATTTATAGCCATGCAGTTTAGTATTCTGTAGTAAATAAAACATAAATATTATAGTAACTTGAATTTAAATGTTATACAATAAAGTATTTTAAACATTGATATTCTGTTAAATACGGTGCCACATTATTGCATCGCCCTTGAATACACCTTTTCGACAATTACGTCATGAATACCTTCTTGACCTGGGAGCCTCGCTCTCGTGAATGACGACGGAAGGCGATTGGCTCATCATTCATGGAAATGAGGCTCCGGGGCCAAGAACGTTCTCATGACGCAATTATTGAAAAGGTGTATTGCTTGCAAGATGTTAGCAGTTGCGCAAAATGTTGAACAGTCTGTGCCAGTGTAGGTAAATATAGTGGAAATAATAACAAATTAGCTTTAATTTCGTTGGTAGTGCAGCTACCTGAAAAATATATGGAGCAATTCAAAGGACCTTCGCTCGAAACGTCGAATTTCTCATTATGTTATTGCGCAAAATTGACCAGATTTATGTTGTAAAATCATTATAAAAAGTCTTACTGCATGCATGTGGTCTATACATTAAACACAAACCACTTTACTATGCACTTCTTGAAGCCGCCATCTTTTCAGTGAATCAGTCGGTAAATTAGCCAATTGAAAGAACGCTCGGTAACTGTAGTATATCTGTATATTATTGGTAATTTTTTTTTCAAAATGAATTGGTCGACCGGCTTATTGATTAACTTTAGTAAGCTTAACCAAGCGACGTTTTTGTTAACACGGACGTCATCCGAAAACTGCTATAACTAATTGTGGCTGCATTTTGCGTCATAATGCTTGTGCAAGGAAGCAAAAAACTTTTAAAATCTTTTATTACACATTTAGTATGTATTCTCGTTCCTGATTGGTCAGAGAGCACCGTATAATTCTCAATATTCGGTATTTAATTACAATTAGGATTTCGTCTCCGTCTATGTTGGTCATTCACTGAAATGAAATAGTAACTGGATTAGTTGGAATTACACAACAGAACTTTACGTTTGAAGTACTCTCGAGATCCGTACCATTGCCATCTGGATGATGTTGCTCATCTACTGAAATGAAATTATAACTTGATTAGTTTGGAATTACAGAACAGAGCTACTGTACAGTACTATTGAAGTACTATCAAGATCCATACCATTAGGATTGTGTATATGTTGCTCATGCATTCACTGAAATAAAAAAAAATAACTGGATTGGCAGGAATTACATAACAGAGTTACTATATTGATTATTGAGTTCTTATATTCTCTCAAAATCTGTACTATTGCAATCTGGATGATGTTTCTCATCTACCGAAATGAAATAATAACTTGATTAGTTGAAAGTGTACATGATTAAATAAATTAGTATAAATTAGTACATACTACAGTAGTATATATATATATATAACCACCTGATGATTCCTATACGGATGAAACAGACTGTTGTGGTTTTTTGAGGTAAAACGAAAAACTATATTACGCTCTATCTATATGGTATTGAGCACTGTTTGTGTTTCGTAAACCAAAATTTTAAGCTATATATATATATATATATATATATATATATATATATATATATATATATATATATATATATATATATATATATATATATATATATATATATACGCAAAGAGTGCTCAATATCATAAAGATAGAGCAAATGTAGAATTTCGCTTACCTCAAAATTCCGCAACAGTCTGTTTCATCAGTAAAGAATCATCAGGCGGTATGATGATTCTTTATATGATGAAACAGACTGTTGCCTGATGATTTTTTACTGATGAAACAGACTGTATAATACCGCTTGATGATTCTTTACTGATGAAACAGACTGTTGCGGAATTTTGAGGTAAGCGAAATTATATATATATATATATATATATATATATATATATATATATATATATATATATATATATATATATATATATATATATATATATATATATATATGTATTATATGTATTAAACTTCTGACGAAGGGGCTGTGCCCCGAAACGTATTATGTATTTGTTTGAAGTTTAATAAATTTTGTTTCCAACTTGAAGTTTTATATAAATGAAGTCTTTTGGGAGGCTAGTGATATTTATATATATATATATAAGGCTAATTGAATTTCGGTCATTAACAACTTTGATCGGTCTGCTTTTATCTCGGATCTCAAGAATGTACCATGGGACAGTTCCTACGTGTATGATGATGTAGATGATGTTTGGCCTCACTGGTCATCATTGTTTAAGCAAGTGCTTGACAATCATGCTCCAGTGAAGCAGGTCCGACTGAGAAGTAATCAATTACCCTGGATTAATGCAGACATCCAAAACCAAATTCGACTAAGAAACCGTTTATATAGGAAGTTTAGAAAAATCTCCTCAGAAGAAAACTGGGTTAAGTATAAAACCCAGCGTAATTTGGTCACAAACATGAAAAGAAAAGCAGTCAAGCAATTTTGTTTAGAAGCAACTTCAACGCCGAACTCGTCAACTGGTTTATTTTGGAAAAAAATGAAACCACTTTTACCAACCAATAAATCTAACAATGACGGATCGACAATACAACTTATTGAGAATGGGTTAATGATTACAGATCCTAGCTCAGTATTCAATAACTATTTTACGACCCCATCTGTTGAAGAAACAATCTTAAACTTGACTGAACAAGATTTTGAGAATTATATTAGTGTACGGGCAATCAAGGAACAATGTCATGATTTGTATTTCTCATTCCAGCAAATTAACATGGATGAAAAGAAAGCTAGTGGGCCTGACGGTTATCAACCAAAGTTACTTAAAGCCTCAGCTCCTGCAATTGCCTTGCCACTCACTAATTTATTTAATTATTGTATTGATAAAAGTACCTGGCCGAATGCATGGAAACAAGGAGATGTCACCCCTGCATGTTCACAAAAAAGATGACGTTGTCATTAAAACAAATTATAGACCGATCACCATCTTATCATGCATTCCAAAGCTTTTTGAGAAACTTAATCCGATCAGTTATACTATACAAACATTTCTCTCCAATCTTTTCAAATAACATGTCGGGTTTTCTTCGTGATCATTCGTGTGCAACGGCACTTATTAAGCTGACAGGCGACTTTAGAAAAGCTCTTGATCAAAAGAAGGATGTAGGTGTTGTGGCAATCGATTTGTCGAAAGCATTTGACTCCATATGCCACAATTTGTTGATTGCGAAGCTAAAGGCTTACGGTCTGCAGGACAATGCGTTGATGTTAATGAAATCTTATTTATTTAAACGAAGCCAGAGGGTGAAATGTAATGGAGTCTTCTCAGATTGGCTGACCTTAAAATGTGGTGTCCCTCAAGGGAGCTTATTGGGACCCTTACTATTTAATGTTTTCATCAATGATCTTAACTGGTATGTCGACAACACATCACTCCGTCTTTATGCAGATGACACTACCCAGTACTCATCTGATACCTGTCCTGCCATATTAGAGTACTCGCTTAACCGTGATCTACAGAAATTATCCTATTGGTTCAAAGAAAACTTCTTGCAAATCAACAATGGCAAAACAAAAGCAATGATCTTAGGGAAATCTGACTATTTGTACAACCTTAAAATTGACAACCAGCATTAGAAATTCACGAATCTTTGAGAACACTTGGAGTGACACTGGACAGAAATTTAGATTTCAAGCAGCATATTGACGAGATATTAAAGAAATCCTATGGAATGATTGCTGCCCTACGACGCCTTAAGAGAATGGTTCCGATAAATATTATAACAAGTTTGTACAAAGCGTATGTTTTACCTTGTTGGTTTGAAACGCTTACTTAAAATTAGTTCATTGTCCTTCATAAATAGTTCATTATGTTTTAGTTAATAATATAGTTAATTTGATTGATACCAGGACGGAAACGGCTATACCATATGTTCCTAATAGACTAGATAGCGTGAGTTAGAAAAGTTGTGACTGCGTCAGAGTAAGGACGTGTAATTGCTACAAGCTATTTAAACTGAAAGGGACATTTCTACGTATTTGTACGAAGAACTGCTATTGAATTCATCGCTACTCGTTTGGTACAAGTGTAAACCAAAGTACGTAAGTTTTACAGTATTGTATATGCTTGTTAGTTTTGTTAGTCAATGACATTTGTGTGTTAGTTTTCGCATGCATTAAGTAACATAGTTAAGTAGTTTATTTTATTGTCATGTTTCAGTTCGAACCTACAATCTATGCTACAATCTATCTATGCTACAATCTATTCATGCTACAATTTACGCTACAATTTGTGCTACAACTTATCTACAATTTGTCCTACAAATCTACGACTGCGCCTAACCTACAAGTCCCACATCGTGTTTATTGTACAATTTGCTACCCGTATTGAATTTCTACTTGGCTACAATACGTTGCGTGACTTGTACAAAGGCCGTTGATTTTGTTGAATATTAAATTTGTTAACCATTGTACATCGATTTGCTATTTGTTGAGTTCGAATATTCATTTGTGCCTATATCAACCATTCAACCCCCTGTGACTCTTGTATTTGGCAACCAGGAGTTACATACCTAATATGGAATACTGTTCTCAACTACTTATTGGAGTGAACAAAACATTGGGCAAGAAACTTGAGAAAGCCAATTGCTACGGTCTAAGAACTGTAATGAACCTGGGTAGCAATATCACCTATGACGAACTTTTAGAACTAGCATCAATGCGATCACTCCAACGTAGGAGACTTGAACAATCTTTAATTTTATTCTTCAAGAGTTTTAGAAATGAAGGTCCTGTATATATATCTGACTTTTTTAAAAGACGTAAATCTACCTATAACCTGAGACATAATGGACTTAATGTTGAACAGGATAGAAACAATAGCCGTTACTTGCATAATTCCTATAGCCTTATTGTAGGGCATGTATGGAACAATTTACCGCTCCCTGCAAAATCTGCATCGACATTAGCAGAATTTAAGTTACATCTAAAACATTGCGAATTTATAGGATGTCAGTGCCAGTCTTGTATATAATTTCTTAGATTTGTATCTTATTAGTCTCGTTTACCTTTTAATAACTTAATGTTTATAATGTACATATGTATTTATAGTATTATAGTATGTCGTGCACTTTTTACATGAGCCTCCGGCTCGGATGATTGGGTAACCGCATCCTGTGCATACGACTCTAAATAAATCATTACATTACATTACATTACATTACATTACATTACATTACATTACATTACATTACATTACATTACATTACATTACATTACATTACATTACATTACCATACTGTACGTACAGTATATGTCATATCATTAGAGCCAACCTCAGAAACATAATATAGATATTATGTCTAGGTAACAGGCAATGACAAACTCCTTGCATGAATGCCTTCCTCAAAAACACAATAATAGAGGCACAGATATTTATGGCATAATTTTGAACATGGTATGATTTGAAGCTGGTGTACTACACCTCTAAAATTGTGCCTAGTAACAGGCGAAATAACCTCGAAAGCACACTATATGTGCCCAGTATACTGGTGCTCAAACACCACAACTATTGAATGACAACTCATGACCAACTTGTACTATATGTTTGGACAGTTTTCTCCGCAAGCACTTTAAGTCGCTCTTCAGCTTTGAGTCGTTTTTGCATATTTTTACTCCTACCAATTACTTTCAGGCGATCAAATGTCATAGATTCAAACACAATATCATGAATCGATCTTACCCGCGATGTAGCTACAAATGTGCATCCAGCAACTTTCTCTCCTTTACCTAAATCAACAACAGCTTTTGTTAGTGTCTGTCCTTGTGACTTATGAATAGTCATTGCATACCTTAACCGCAATGGCACTTGTTGCCTTGACAAGTACTTTCCATCATCCATCCATTCAAACACTTTGGGGGGCACAGGTATACATTTAGAACATGTATCTAGGAATGCAGGACCAGAGTAACTATGGAAGTGTACCAATACTGCTATTGGCAGGTTTGGTGGACCCATATTCTCTGCAAACCAAATCTGCTCGATAGTGCCAAATGAGCCATTGCAGAGACCAACTTCAGCCCACACGTTGCAAGTGAGCATTACTTCTGCTTTTGTTGATAAAAACAGAACAGCGTCCAATCCACCAGCTTCGTCCGAGGTGGCCGCACTGGCACCATGACCAGAGTGCTTTGCCTGAATTTTAGCAACAGGTTGTCCAAGCTGCAATAGCTTCAGATAATTGTATTCAGCAACACTTTTCTGGTCAAAGTACAGTCGGATGGCATCAGCGAATTGATCCATTGGTACACTTGTTGTTGAATGCTCCAACAATAGTTTCCAGTCCTCCTCTATCACTCAATTTCGCATTCTCATCAGCAAGGCTCTAAAAGCAACTGCCTCGGGGTCCTCACCAGCCTGACGCATAACTTGATCTAAAACATCCTCGTCCCCAGGGCCTCTCGGCCGCGTGCGTCCTCCTTAGGCCCTGGGACACACGGAACCGGAAGTGCAAAAAAACTTGCAGTAGTTTCTAAAGCGCATGCTCTTGAATTGGCACACTTTAGCACCCGTAAGAATTTTCACAGTGAAGTATTAAGAAGAAACGAAGTATTTGTGTTGACATATGTTGATAGAATAATTTTGCCCAGCGAAAACTGCTAAACTTCTGCGAAATAGCAGTTCTCTGAGAAGCCAATCAGATCTCTTCCTTTAGTCGTCTATCCCAGAGCCTAATTTTCAACGAGTGACCGAGTGAAAATGGCTCTGGGGACGAGAATGGATCTAAAATAATGACAGATTCAAACATCAGATACAGACTATGCCCATGGTCACTTACTACTGTTCCATTACCTGAAACATACATTGGCTTATCACCAACAGGTGGTAATTGACCAAAATCACCCATTAGAATTACTGACATACCACCAAAAGGGATATCTTGCTTTCCAGTACCAGCACGTAATCTATTGTCAAGCCATGATAGCATTTTATGTCCAATCATTGACATGTCATCAATAATCAGAAATCTTTTACTTTCTAGTCTCAGCTGTAACCGCTGTAGTGAGTCACCCTGCAAATCCCTATATTCACGGATAGGAAGTTGAGCAGCAGAATGTAATGTTTGACCATTAATACTAAAGGCTGCAATCCCAGTAGTTGCTGTAACAACACACTGAGCGGCTAATACTTGTTTCGTTGCACTTATTAAGTATGTCTTACCTGTGCCAGCTGTTCCACACACAATCATATAAACAGGCTCAGCATTATCACCATTCTGAGATGTGACGATGTTGTAAGCAAGGCGTTGTTTTTCATTCAGGGTGTCCGGATCAATTACACATTGTTGATCATCTTCTCGAAATTGCTGACCATGTTCTTCCGTCTTCTTTCTCTGACTATAGATCCATCCTGGAGATTCCCTTAACAAATCTCTAGGCACAGCTCTTACCGTTTCAAACCAGTCCACTGCTTCATTGTCTGACATCCGATTACCTGCTTCACCATAATCTTGGTTAATTCTGCATAACAACATCCAATCATCGACTTCCTCCTCGTCACGAGGGTCAACTTCACTTTCGTCGTCATCATCTTGATTGTCACTTGGATCGTTTTCAAAGGTTTGACCACATTGTGCATCATGAACTCTGTGTGTTTCATCGGAATATCTAAACACATTTTCTTCTGCAAATTCATCTGTCATAAGAAAAACTTCATATGCATTAATAAACATTTTATCACTTTCATCCTCGTTGTTCCAAGCATTTGACGATTGACCCTCCCATGGTTTAAACTTTATTAGTTGATATTTGCAGTATTTTCCAAAATCAGGACCAGCAGGATTAGCGGAAATCTTTGGAAATGTCCTGACAATGTACGGATTCGCTCGTTTTGTCAACTCACCTCGGACTTTCGTGTACTGTGACACATATTGCATCAGATTTAGCTGAGACAAGCCTGTATACCTACTCTTCAATTTTGTAGGTTCTGCATATTCTTGTAGCGCAGATTTTTGAAGTACCTCATCGCCTTAATTTTCTGCATCAATATTAACCTTCCTGCTGTTATCTAAAGAAATAGTAACAAAACTAAATGTGCAGCCAACCAGTGGTAGACTAAGTAACATATGCGCAGTTTCTTGTGCTGCCATATCTCTATCCCCAGCAACTCGGATCATTGCTTTCTTGAAGGCCGAACAGACTTGATCATCATTCTGTAATGAGGACACAGACAATTTTTATCATCTTACTTACTTCAATAACTTACCATCTGCAAGCCTCTCTGCAAACTTCATTAAATGTTTGAAACCTTCGGTTAACGTTATACCATGTTGTCTTGCCCTATTTGTTGGGTCACCCTTCCCATAAGGAAACAATGTAGGAAAGGCCATAGTAGCTAAACCATCTGTTTTAAATTCATTAACGAGATTACCTTCAGTAGATGGCCAGTTTAACGGATCAACCTCATTTACTGCGTCTTGGATAGCCGCACCTTCCTTTCTCTGTCTTTGACGCATAGGAATAAACGATGTACTGCCACTTCCTAAAACTAACTCTTCCACACTTGCATTAGCACTCGTTACTGGGTCTTGGGGAGGCCCCTCCATTTCAACATGATCTGAAAGCTCATTTTCATCAATGACATACCTTAGCTCATCGGGAATACCATTTTCTGGTAAACTTTGGATGACATCTCTATCAATTTCGATATCTTTAAAGAACGGATTGTTTGTCTTTAACCATTAACACAGCCTCGAGAACTTTGTGTCGACGCACAGTAAAGTCTCGATGTGTGTCTTCTGCACCATGTCTTCGCACAATCAAAACAGGCAAGTCTACCACACGAGAAGGCAACCTATTCAAGAAACTTTGAATATCTTGAGGTAAGTTAAGTACATGTCCTTTATACCCCCTCTGACCCCCATGTTTTCTATACACTCTCATAATGGGACAAACCCTTGAAATTAACATTTCTTCTACCTGGTCAAACCTCTCAATTGTTCAGGAACTGTTCCTGGGTCCATGCCATTCTCCACACTAAATTTCTTGGGTGATTTCTTGTCTCTCTTGCACCGGTAACAAATGTATACTTCTGATGCCAAGTTTTGGCGTGTCGGCCAAGCTTCTTTACACATTGTACATTGTCGATGCTCTAAATGTTCTTGATCTAAATGAAAACTGTGCATTTCATTTTGTACAAACTCTAGCTCATGCAGAAGGTTGTCAACATTTTGCCAACCACCCTCATGTAAATATTCATTTCTACTCACCCTTGGCCCCTCTGCTTCATGTACAGACTCACTATCCTCGTCTGCTTTAGGAACAGATATATCTACAGTTGGATCAACAGACATACTCAACTGCTCATGTGATTCTTGTTCATTTTCATTTGAACTTCCTGTGTGAAAAAGTGCTTGTAGTATTTCAAGTATTCTTGCTCGTTCATCAACTGTTTCGGTTGCTTGGTCTTGCTTTCTCTCAAATTGTAGCCTGTTTGTTCATTGTTCTTCAGTCTCATTCTGCTTTTTATCTAAATCATACACTCTCTTATACTCATTTCGCTTACCTTTAACTTCTTGAGTCCTTTCTTGCCGCGCTTCTCTTCGTTTTGCTAAGCGAGTTTCTCTTTCCTCTGCACTTTGTCCAGCCTGTTTCTGTTGCCTATAGACTCTCTTATACTCATTTTGTTTACCTTTCGCTTCAGCAGTCTTTTTTTTCCATGCTACTCTTTGTTTTGCCAAGCGAGCTTCTCTTTCCTCGGCACTTTCCGCAGCTTTTTTCTGTTGCTTATAAACTCTCTTACACTCCCTTTGCTTACCTTTTGCTTCAGCAGTCTTTTTTTTCGTGTTTCTCTTTGTTTTGCCAAGCGAGCTTCTCTTTTCTCAGCAGTCTCCTCGAGCAAACGTTGTCGTCTTCGCTCCCTTCTTTTCGCTAGACGCTCGGCTTTCTTGTCGTTTTCTTGTCGCTTTTCGTTTGGCTCCATAATATATTTTCAATTGGTATTTAATACCGTAATTGGTTTATTAAACCTTTTATACAACAAATTGCTTTTAAAGCTGTCAAAATATTTTGCAAACGTACAAAATACTGTAGTACAAAATAACAAAATATTTTCACAAAGTATCTTTCAGTTGAAGTCGTCATTTGTCATACAACAACAAATTTTAAATTTGACCAATCAGTGTTCGCTATTTATGACAGTCCGCCATAGTTTTGAGATCAGTGAGGATGACCACTCACCCAACACCACTGAGCTTTACTAAATTACTGGAGGAGGTGCTCCTATCTCTCGTCAGTCAAAAAAGTGTCGCAAAAAACATGGCGGATTTTCATGTTTGCTGACGCCATATGGTTCCTCCGGCTCATGGCAATTACCACTGACCAACCGCGATCCTAAGCATCCGACAAAGACCTTCGTCCCCTGTTTTTGCACAAATATTTTATGTTTTCGAGACAAAATCATGCCGTTTTTCTCGGCTTGTGGATGCAAAAATTCGCTGTAAAGAATTTAAAGGGACGAATATTTCTTATGAAAGGTAAGATTTGTGAAAATTTTAAGTTTTTACTTTTTATTCGACTAATTCTAGATTGGCAAAGTCAGGGGCCGATATGCGCATAAAATCGAGGAATAAATATATATTTGTCAAACACTCATATTTTATATTTACACCAATATTTCTGGAGCAGACATAAAAAAACGTTGTACATGGTTATTTATACATTGTGTACATACATTTTGTTTCTAGTTTCAGGCACTGGCTTTTGTTTTTAGTGCCAGTTTATTAGTTTAAAAACAGCAGCTCATGCAATCTGTAGTTTGCTTTTGTTTTATATAAAAGAGCAGTTAGCACTGGATTATATACAGTATAAACAAGCTGTATTGTATCCTTCACAAATATTATAAACTGCTAGTCTTGCTACTTGCTACTTGGTAGGTTTTATATCAGCATTTACCAACTGGCTGTGTAGTTAGGTTTTTTTGTGGGGTTGTGCACTACATTTCAGTCAGCATCGAGCTATCATCGACTTGTGCATACCCATGCAAATTTGTATGATTTATACTTATATCATTCTTGCATTGGCATTACCTTGAGTGCTAGTATGGGTCAACCTCTATAAGTCTCATAAAAATCTCCAAACAAAGAACCTCCTTCACTCAGAAAATACCTCATACCATCATGGGCGTGTGGATTGGGTTATTCCAGAAAACATCCATACCACCCCCACAGAGGAAATAGAAAGTTGACCCCCCTTCGGATGTCTTAATACATTTACTATTATCAGAAACTATTATCATTTACTATTACTATTGTTCCTCCATGGGGGGAGTATGAATCTTTTCTGGAACGACCCATTTATGTTTAGACAAGAAAGCCATATTTATTTAGGTCCCCTAGAGGTTAACCTATTGAGTCGCATTGCGCCCTATTTTATTATTTTACTCTGTCTGACGCCAGATGATTTTATTCGTCAAGCGGAGAGTGCTGGCGGTTAATAGGTTAAAGGGACACTCCACCCCCAGAACAAGTGTCGCTCATAAGAAAGTTTTATATGAGCCTACCTTGGAATGAATATTTGTTCGCCTCAATTCTTTTTCGTTTGCGAGAAATTTAACTTTGTTTCACTGATTTTTGGTCCATTATCGCCGCCATGTTTGTTGAATCCGCGGGTGGTCCTATGAGTGCCGTGACGTAAGTGTGTGATAGAAACAAATTTCATAATCAGATTGCAGCAAGGATTCGCATATTATTCACTCTTTATTAAACTTTAGAGATTTCTTTTAAATAATTTTCAACGGAAGATCATTGCTTGGTTCCAGAGTGGCACGGAAAACTGTGGGAATCAGCCACAACAGAATCCCAAAGAAAAAGGTTTGCGACGAGCGTGGCTGGCGAGAAATTATTTGCAGAGTAAAACCTACGCGATTTAGATATTACATTCATCTGTTTATTCGGCGTCGGCGCATTTATGCCTGAATACTTCGCAAGAACGCTAGAATTTGTGCGTTGCTTCCAACAAAAGCCAAAGCTAAAACCAGACGCGATGGCATCTATATTTCCGCGCCATAAGCCAATTAGTCAAGAAACCCAGAAACACAGGGTGAAGAAGAAATCATATTCGCCTTGCTTGAACAAACCAGACAAAAGGTATTAACTAAGCAAGTCATGAAAGCTTTATTTCTACAATGTATATCAATGATTTTGTAGTTTTCATACTGTGGAAGAATTTACTTTCTAGACATTTGTACGTTAAAAGATACCAATAAAGCATTAAAACATTTAATAACGTTTTTATTAATATGTTGCGTGTGAAAATTTGCTACTGTACATATATTTACAGTGTCAAGTTACTATCAACTGTATGTAAACTGTAAAAATGCTTTTCCATGATAGCTGGGAATTGCTTATGCTGTGAGTAGAAACATGTTCCTAGGCCTCAACCATGGTCCAACACTATTTTCAAAACCCTCCATGCGAAAATACTATATACAAGACTCACATAAACACCCCAATTTTATACTGTACTGTGTACATACATGCACTGTGTAGGCAGCAGGGAATAAAAATATACACAACATGTTATTGAAGTGTTTGTAATGCTTGATTTGTATCCTTTAACGCACAAATGTTAATGTCTAGAAAGTTAATTCTGCCACAGTATGAGAACTACAAAATCATTGATATACATTGTATATAAATAAAGCTTTCATGGCTTGCTTAATTTAATACCTCTTGTCTGGCTCGTTCAAGTCGGGCCGATTTGATTTCTTCTTCGCCCTGTGTTTCTTGGTTTCTTTGGCTTATGGCGCGGAAATATAGATGCCACCGCGTCTGGTTTTAGTTTTGGCTTTTGTTGGAAGCAACGCACAAATTCTAGCGTTCTTGTGAAATATTCAGGCATATAAAATGCGCCGACGCCGAATAAACAGATGCATTTA